CTTTTTGAGATTGTGCATTGTTAGTGCCTAGATATGCAACTGATTTTTTTGTGAAATCAATAAGGTTTCCTGCATAAAAGATCATGTCACCATGTCATGAGAATAGAGATAATTTTACTTCTTTATGATTAAGATGCCTTTAATTTCAAGCCTGATTTCCATAACTTAGGAGTTCCAATTCAGTATCACAGAGAAGTGGCAAGAGTGGATATCCTTGCATTATTCCTGAGCTTAGTAGAGAAGTTTTCTGATTTTTACCATTGAGTAGGATGTTACCAATGGGTTTTTAATATATGGACCTTATTATTTTTTGGCAATTTCCTTATATATCTAGTTTATTGAGTGTGTTTATCATGAGAAATTTTTGAATTTTGCAAAGTACCTTTTCTGCATATATTAAGATGATAACATGATTTTTTTAATCATTTGTTCTGTTAATATGGTGTATCATATTGACTGATTTTCACTTGTTTGAGACATTGTTACATCCCAGAGAGGAGTCTCAACTGGTTATGGCACATAATTCTTTTCATGTGCTGTTGAAATCAGTTTGTTAATATTTTGTTGAGGATTTTTGCATCTATTAATATATTCACCAGGGATACTGGCCTGTAGTTTTCTTTTTTTTTTCTAGTGTCTTTGTCTGGTTTTATTATCAGAGTAAGGCTGACCTGATAAAATAAGTTTGGAAGTGTTCTAGCCTCTTTAATTTTTTTGGAAAAGTTTGGAAAGAATTGGTGTTAATTCTTCTTTATGTGTTTTGAAGAATTCATTACTGAAGCCATCTGTTCCTCTTTATTGTTTTTTGTATGTTTGCCTTTTAAAACCTCTTTTTAAAAATAATTTATTTTTTTTGAAGGATAATTGCTTTACAGAATTTTGTTGTTTTCTGTCAAACCTCAACATGAATCAGCCATATGTATACATATACCCCCTCCCTTTGTTGAGGTTTTTGATTTGTTATTCAATCTCCTTACTAGTTACAGCTCTGTTCAGATTTTTTTCTTGCTTCATGATTTCATTTTGGTAGGGTGTATATTTGTATAAATTTATCTATTTCTTATAGATTGTCTAGTTTGCTGTATAATTGTTCATGGTAGTCTCTTACGATACTTTTAATTCCATGGCATCAGTTGTAATGTCTCCTCTTTCATTTCTGATTTTTGTTATTTGAGGTTTTTCACTTCTTTTTCTTTTCTAGCTAAGAAATTATCAATTTCATTGATTTTAAAAACTCTTACTTTTATTGAATTTTTGTTTTCCTACCATTTTATTTATTTATAATCTTCATTTTTTTTTTTGTTTCTTTTGTTTCATTTTCAGTTCTTCTTTTTCTAGTTCCTTGAGATATGAAGCTATGTTGTTGATTTGCAACCTTTCTTTCTTCTTTTGGCTGTGTGGCATGTTAAGATTTTAGTTCCCCAGCAAGGGATTGAACCTGTCCTCTCTGCACTGGGAGTGCAGGGTCTTAACCACTAGACCACCAGAGAGTTGGACTGTGAAGAAAGCTGAGCACCAAAGAATTGATGCTTTTGAACTGTGGTGTTGGAGAAGACTCTTGAGAGTCCCTTGGACTGCAAGGAGATTCAACCTAAAGGAGATGCTAAAGGAGATCAGTCCTGAATATTCATTGGAAGGACTGATGCTGAAGCTGAAACTCCAATACTTTGGCCACCTGATGTGAAGAACTGACTCATTGGAAAAGACCCTGATGCTGGGAAAGATTGAAGGCAGGAGGAGAAGGGGATGACAGAGGATGAGATGGCTGGATGGCGTCACCGACTCGATGGACGTGACTTTGAGTAAACTCTGGGAATTGGTGATGGACAGGGAGGCCTGGCGTGCTGTGGTTCATGGGGTCACAAAGAGTCAGACATGACTAAGTAACTGAACTGAACTGAGCTGAACTGCACTAGCTTTATAAGTGATTGATCTACCTTTACTGTATGTTTGCCTTTACCAAAGAAGTTTTTCCTTTTGTCATTTTAATATTTCTAGTTTTGGCCTTTTCTTTTCCACTTAGAGAAGTCCCTTTAATATTTCTTAGAAAGTTTGATTCCTGGTGCTGAACTACTTTAACTGTTTTTGCTCGTCTGTAAAGTTTTTGATCTTTCCTTCAGATTTGGTTATGTCTCTTTTACCACTTCAAGTATATTATGCCACACCCTTTTGCTCTGCAGAACTTCTGCTGAAAAGTCAGCTGATAGCCTTATGAGAGTTCCATGGTATATAACTTATTGATATCCTCTTGCTGCTTTTAACATTATCTCTTTATCCTTAATTCCTGACATTTTAATTATAACATGTCCTAGCATCATCCTCTTTAGTGTTAATCCTTTCTCTATGATTCTCAATGATCTCTGGACCTGGAGGAATGTTTCCTTTCCCAGGTTAGAGAAGTCTTGTTATTATGTCTTCAAATATGTTCTCTGAGCCCTTTCTCTCTTTTCTTCTGGACCTCTACAATGTGAATGAAAATATACCTTGATATTGTCCCAGAGGCCCCTTAAAATATATTCATTTTTTTATTCTTTTCTTTTCTGTTCAACTTACGGGATTTCTGATACTCTGTCTTCTGTGTCAATTATTCATTCCTCTGTATCATCTAATGTACTGTTGATTCCTTCCAGTGAATTTTTAATTTCAGTTATTATATTCTTCAGTTTGTTTGGTTCTCTTTTAAATTTTCAAACTGTGTGTTGAACTTCTAGCTGAGTTTTATCCTGAGTTCTTTGAGTATCTTCATGATTATTATCTTGAGCTCCTTATCAGGTAGACTTCTTACCTTCACTTTACTTAGTTGTTTTTCTGGGGGTTTATCTTGTCCTTTCATCTGGAACAGGCACAGCTCCTAACACCTGATTCACACAGCAACTTACTTGGTTCTCAAAAATGTTTGCTAAGCAAAGCCAGAAAGATAAAGACCAATACAGTATACTAACGCATATATATGGAATTTAAAAAGATGGTAACAATAACCCTATATGCAAAACAGAAAAAGAGACACAGATGTACAGAACAGACTTTGGACTCTGTGGGAGAAGGCGAGGGTGGGATGTTCTGAGAGAATAGCACTGAANGGAAATGACAATAAGCACATGAACATATGTTCAACATCATCAGATATTAGGGAGATTGAAGCCACACGAATCACTACTACATACCTACCAGGATGACCAAAATTTAAAAGAGACTGACAATACCAGTGAATGTAGAGCAGATGGAATTCCTGTATGTTGCTAGCAGGAATACAAAGTGGTACAACCACTGTAAACATCAAGGTCTTACTCTATGGCACAGGGAACTGTATTCAGTTCAGTTCAGTTGTTCAGTCATGTCTGACTCTGCGACCCTACGGACTGCAGCATGCCAGGCCTCCCAGTCCATCACCAACTCCCGGAGTTTACTCAAACTCATGTCCATCGAGTCAGTGATGCCATCCAACCATCACATCCTCTGTTGTCCCCTTCTCCTTCCACCTTCAATCTTTCCCAGCAACAGTATCTTTTCAAATGAGTCCGTTCTCTGCATCAGGTGACCAAAGTATTGGAGTTTCAGCTTCAGCATCAGTCCTTCCAGTGAATATTCAGGACTGATCTCCTTTAGCATCTCCTTTAGGTTGAATCTCTATGCAGTCCAAGGGACTCTCAAGAGTCTTCTCCAACACCACAGGTCAAAAGCATCAATTCTTCGGCACTCAGCTTTCTTTATAGTCCAACTCTCACATCCATACATGACTACAGGAAAAACCAAAGCTTTGACTAGATGGCCCTTTGTTGGCAACGTAATGTCTTTGTTTTTTTATATGCCATCTAGGTTGGTCATAACTTTTCTTCCAAGGAGCAAACATCTTTTAATTTCATGGCTGCAGTCACCATCTGCAGTGACTTTGGAACACAAAAAAGTAAAGTCTGTCACTGTTTCCGTTTCCCCATCTATTTGCCATGAAGTGATGGGACCAGATGCCATGATCCTGTAATAAACCATAATGGAAAAGAATATGAAAAAGATTATGTACATGTATGTTGAATCACTTTACTGTAGATCAGAAACTAACACATTATAAATCACCTATACTTCAATAATAAACTAATTAATTAAATATTATAACCACTTTGGAAAGTAGTTTTTTAATTTCTTATGAGGATAAATATACACTTCCTGTAGAAATGAGGATGTTTGTCCACAAAAATACTTTTACATGAATGTTTATAGCAGCATTATTCATAAGCCCTATACTGAAAACAATACAAATGTCCATAGATGAGTAAAAGATAAACAAATGTAGAATGGCCAAGGGTCTGAGAGAACTTTTTGTGTAGGTAGAAATATTCTACATCTTTAATGTGATGGTGGCTCCACAGGTGTGTATAGTTGTCACAAGTGTGTATAGTTGTGTTATAAGTGTGTATAGTACATAGAACTAATACTTAAACTATGTTAGTCTATCAGTTATGTCTGACTCTTTGTGACCCCATGGACTGTAGCCAACTGTAGGCTTCCAGGCTCCTCTCCATTAAATTCTCCAGCCCACTGGAGTGGGTTGCCACTCATTTCTCCAGGGGATCTTCCCAACCCAGGGATTAAACCTGAGTCTCCTGCATTGCAGGCAGATTCTTTACCATTTGAGCGGCCAGGGAAGGTTTGTATGTAAATTTTGCCCTAATGAAGTTAATTAAATGAAAATACTTAAAAATAAGACAAGAGAGGCCATCATAAGAGAGTGACAAGTGGACAGAAGAGACTGGACGCAAGGCAGAGGTGACAGATTTTTCTTGTCCAGACAGCAGTCAGATTGATGCCTTTTAAAAGTAAATCCAATAATTTTGCTCACTTCCTTAAAATGCTTCTGTGTCTTCCCAATGCACTAAGAGTAAAACCTGATCCTGCCCATCTCATTCCTGTCTTCACATCCACATTTCTCCTACTCACTCTACCTCATCAAGGCAAGTCTTTTCCCAGCCCAGGGCCTCTTTACCACTCACTACTCTTTCTCCTAGAATCCATTTCTCCCGATCCTTTCTGTGGCTTCTCATGCTTCAGAGTTCAACTGGAATGTCATTCCTCTGAGGCCTCTGCAAAGGGGTGTTTACCTCCCCAGCAGCAGAAGTATTTTCTATCAGGTAACTTTATTTAATTCTTTATTAACTTTATTTAATTTAATTGCAGGGAACTTAGAACATCCAAAGTCTACCTTGATTATGTATTTCTTTAATGGTTTATTGTTCATATCCTCCCATCAGTTAATTACCAGCAGGAAGACAGGGATCTTTTCTGTCTGGTTTGTCACTACAGCCCCCAACACCTTTCGTGGGACTTGGCTTATGGACTATACTCAATAAGGAATCGTTGACTGAATGAATAAGTGAAAATATAATTAATGGGCAAATAATAACCACCCAGTGGTTTTTTTCTGAGTTTCCTTTTACTAAAGTTGGGTTTTTTTTTTTGTTTGTGTGTTTGTTTTGCCTAATTTTTACAGGTACTTCTGTTGTGACTATAAAAGCTTTTGCTCCAGACTCAATTCAGGACAGTATTAAATACTCAGTTTTTCATGGAAATGAAGATGGAGTTTTCTCCTTGAATTCTAAATCAGGTAACCCTCTATGCTTTATTTTCTGCTCCACTTACTGTTGCTAGTAAGGCATATGTCTGCAAAGAAAACTCAAGATTGCAAAGGTAGAAATTGCCAGATGTAAATAATTTCAAAGGTAAACAACAAAGCATTTTTATGGTAGCTGATGAGATATCAGAAAATATTTGTTTATATGTATTCTCTAAGAATTCTATTCCTCACATTTGCAAGTTAAACAGTACCTGCCCTACCCTACCTGTTATCTGGTGATAAATTGGTTTCTACTTATAATTTCCCTATCCATTTGGGAGAATTGGGAATGTAATAGGGAGATCAGTGAGAATGGGGCTGAACTGAAAATAAGCACACATGTCTAGCCTTAGGAAGTTTTCATCAGAGACTCTTCTAATTTGCCACTTAATGTCAACAGTGCAACAAGAAAGGAAAACTGGAAAGGTTTCTATGTGGTGGTAAAGAAATTACTTCCAAATACAGCATGTATTAAATTTAGCTTTAATAAGACCATTATTATGCCTTAAATGAATACCAATTGATTATTTGAAACATTCTTTTTTTAATCTAACAACTATGTCATAGATATGTATCTACTGCTTCGTTGTCAAACCTCAAGAAGAATGTTTTTAATAATTTCTGTATTACCGCACAACTGCCTTATTTAATCCATACTGTGTACACATGGGAAGAATTGAGAGGGGGGTCATTTCTTAAGCAAAAGCCTTCTTTTTCAGGGTAGTGTTACAGTTGTTTTTATACATTCAGCCTTTGCTCAGCAACCTCTCTGATGTAGCCTGCAAGAAGTCTTCATCTTTTCACCCCATCATGTGGTTAGCAAACGGTTCAGGAAGCCTATTGGCAAGAAGGCCGTTTGCGAACACCACCAAACCTTTTCCCCCCACCAGTCATTAAGTCTCTAGCAGTCTGATGTCTGAGGGTTCTAGGAAAGGAGCTGAGATTAGAATGCTTAGGGAGAAGGTAAATTTGAGTTTTCACATTTTCCCAGGTCACCCAAATCCTTTTGCCACATCACCCCTAACATGACCCAGGCTTGGCCTTATTTTCTCTAGTCTCTCATTAAAATGAAGATAGAATACACCTAAGGGTTAGTTCAAAGTGGTCATCTACAGAAAACTGTAGTTTTAATTAGTGATTGACTCAAGTTGAAATATATTTCAAAATTTTATTGTGTAATAGCTATAAGCTGTTATGTTGAGAGATATACAACTATTTAATGAACAACAGTAAAATAAAAGGCCACATTTTTGCCACCCATCTCCAAATAAGAGACCTCACTGAACCTCAAGAAGCCCCTGTATGCCCCTTCCCTCTCATAGCTGTCTTATTTCACCCCAGACATAATCGGTAAGTCAGTAATCTCTATTTGGTATTGAACACTACCTTTTTTTTCATTATAATTTCCCCATTATGTTTGAATCCCTAAACAGTGCATTGTTTAGATTTACTTTGATTTAAAGTTCATAGTAGAATCACACTGAATGAACTCTTCTGTGAATTGCTTTTTGCTCAACATTTTTTCTATGATGTATAGTACAGAAGCTATTAAAGAAGAATAGAAAAGAATGATATGTACCTGCTGCCAAGGTTACAAAATAGAACACTGTCATTATCACTCATGTTCCCTTTGGGCCCTTTTTTGATTGCATCTTTTCTCTCCACTACTCCAGCCTGATTAATGCCCATACTTCAGGGATAATTATTCCCTTGTGAATATACTAAATGCATTCCTACAAATAGAAATTTAGTAGAAGCATTGGTTTTGCTTTGAATTTACCTAAATGGATTCAAAAAATACCCTATGTATTTATTGGTATTGGGTTTCCCAGCTGGCACTAGTGGTAAAGAGTCCACCTGCCAATGCAGGTAGACGTTGGAGACGTGAGTTTGACCCCTGAATTGGGAAGGTCCCCTGGAGGAGTGCACGGCAACCCATTACAGTATTCTTGCCTGGAGAATTTCATGGACAAAGGAGCCTGGCGGGATGCAGCCCGTAGCATCGCACAGAATCGGACATGACTGAAGTGACTTAGCACACATGAGTGCATTCTATTGATAGGTTTTTTAAATTCAGAGTTAGAATCATCCACGCTAAGGTGTGTAGCTGGCATTATTTTATTCTTTTATTTTCATTGCTATATGATATGCTATTGTAAATCTATATCACAAGTTATTTATCCATCTGCTGTTGATGAGCAGTGAGGTTTTCTTGTCTGGGGATATAATGAACAATTTCATACGTGTCTTCTGGTGCACAAGTAAAGAGTTCTTTAAGCCCTGAAGTGTAGGCTGGACAAATACCTCAGAGTATATGTGAGTGTATGTGAGTGTATGTTCAGCTGTATAGATGGTGCCAACTTGTGTTATGAAGTAGTTCCTCCATTATATTCTACCAGCATCCAATGAGAGCTGTCACAGTTGTTTACTTTCTATTGCCAACCTGGTGGGTGTGAAATACTATCCCACTGTGGTTTTAACTTAGATTTTCTTTCTACTAGTGAATTTGGGCACTTTTTTCATAGTTTATTGAGCATTTCTATTTTCTTCTATGTGAAATGCATATTGATATTTTTGCCTATTTTTCTTCAAGCTTGTGTTTTTCTTTCTGAAATGTAAAGACTTTATTTTTTTTTTGAAATGTAAAGACTTTAAATATATTTTATTATTATTCATCCTTTGGTTTTGTTACAAATTTTTTTTTTATAATTTATGGCCTATCTTTCACTCTCTTAATGATATGTTTTGATTTTAATGTTGTTATTGTTTGGTTGCTAAGTCATGTCCAACTCTTTCAATACCCCAAGGACTTGTAACCCACCAGGCTTCTCTGTCCATGGGATTTCCCAAGCAAGACTACTAGAATGGGTTGCCATTTCCTTTTCCAGGGGATCTTCCTGACCCAGGGATTGAGCCTGTATCTCCTGCTTTCGCAAGTGGATCCTTTACCACTGAACCACCAGGGAAGATCAATTTTAGAATGAATCTAAAATTTAGAATGAATTTTTTACTTTTTGGTTTGCCTTTTTTGTAAGTTGTTTAAGATATTCTTCCCTTCCTTGAGATCATGAAATTATTCTTACATTGTCTTTTTAAAATTTTATAGTCTTCCTATGTTTCATATTTTCATCTTTGATGCATCTAGAATTGATTTTTGTGTTTTACATGAGTTATGGATAGCCTTTCTTTTTTCCTACCCTTTCTTTTTCTTCCCTTTCCTTTCTTTTTTATTAAACCATGATTTCCTGTTATTCTAATGGCAATAACCTTCTCCTGTGATCTGCAGTACCACCATGATCATATGTATATATATCATGTTTCCATGACTTTTCCATTCATTTCTTTGTCTATCCAAACACCAACACCACACTCTCTTAACTACCTTGGCTTTATAATTCTTCATATCAGGGAAGCAGAACTCCCTCCCTCAATACTTACCCCATCCTCATGTTCTGCCTCAAGTAACAATATATTGGCTGTTAGTGGTCATTTGCTCTAACATAAAGCATTGTATCCACTTGTTAAGTTTTACACACACACACGCACACACACACACACCACATGCATGTCTACTGGGATTGTTTTTCTATGAAAAGGAAATTTATTCATGATATTGTAGTAATATACAGCTCATCACATCTTCATTAATGTAACCCACATAACTATGGCATGCATATTTTGTTTCAGGTGAAAACTCATCCAAACTAATGAGAAAAATGTCCCAAAAAATCATATAGATCCAATCTAGAATTTAGTCATCAGGCCAAAACATCTTCCTTTTAAATCTTGCAAAGCTTATATAACTATGCATTGTAGATAGCAACCATCTCATAAAATTTTTCCTTTTTTGATGATTTTTCTTTATCTGTCATATCTAATATTAAATCCACTTAACGTTAACATTAAGTTAAAGTTAAATCTACTTAATCTACTTAACATTCAATCTCTTAACAAATTTTAAGTTTACAAAACTGCATGTTAACTACAGGCACACTGCTGTGCAGCAGATCTTTAAAACACATTCAGTTCAGTTCAGTTCAGTTCAGTTGCTCAGTCGTGTCTGACTCTTTGCGACCCCATGGACCGCAGCACGCCAGGCCTCCCTGTCCATCATGAACTCCTGGAGTTTACCCAAACCCATGTCTATTGAGTCGGTGATGCCATCCAACCATCTCATCCTCTGTCACCCCCTTCTCCTCCTGCCCCCAATCCCTCCCAACATCAGGGTCTTTTCCAATGAGTCAACTCTTCACATCAGGTGGCCAAAGTATTGGAGTTTCAGCTTCAACATCAGTCCTTCCAATGAACACCCAGGACTGATCTCCTTTAGGATGGACTGGTTGGATCTCCTTGCAGTCCAAGGGACTCTCAAGAGTCTTCTCCAACACCACAGTTCAAAAGCATCAATTCTT